CTAAGGCAGGAGCAAGCTTGCACATCAGAAGATCACATAGGAGGTTAATGCAGCTAAGGTTTAATGAGATGAGATCTTGGGTAGGTAGAGGCCAGAGGATGTACACTTTTGAAAGCCACAGGAGAAATGTGATTTTTTTAGTAAGTACAACAGAAAACTATTGAAGGACTTGCTACTTTTCTTATGAACTTCTTAAACTTCTTTTTGAACTTTTATTTAAGTCATACAGACAAATGCCCAGATCCTTAGCATACAGCTCAATGAATTTTTACAAAGTGAACATACTCACATACTCAGTACTCAGATCAAGATACAGGTCATTACCAGAATCCCAGATGTGCCTGCCTCCCACCAGACACCACCTGCCACTGACAAGAGTCCCAACTCTCCTGGTTTCTACCCCATAGATTAGGATTGCCTGTTTGGTACTTTATATAAATGGAATCACACAGTACAGGCATGTTTGTGTCTGGCTTCTTGAGCTCAACATTATGTTTGTGAGGTTCATTTGTATTATTACATGTAGTCCATTGTATGAATACACCACAATTTAAACACTCTACTGTTGATGGACATTTGGATAGTTCCCAACTTGGTTTTATTACAAATAATGCTGCTATAAATATTTCTATAATTGTCTGTAGGTGAATAAATGTTTGCATTTCTGTTGGATGTATGCTGGTTCTTAAGGTGTGCAAATATTCAGTGCTACTAGATATTATCAGAGTTTCCTGAAGCTCTCATACTAAATCCATTTCCATTACCAAAGTATGAGAGTTCCAAATGCTCAATACCCCATTGGATTTAAAAAGATCCCTCCAGTAGCTATGTGGGGAATGGATAGTAGGTGGTCAACAGTGCATTCAGAAAGATCAGATGAAGGGCACTTCAGTTGTCCAGGAGAAATGATAATGGCTTGAACTAGGCCAGTGGCCATAGAGATGGAGAAGGGTAAGCAGAGTTGAGCTATAAACTCAGTGTTTCCTCCTGCATTTACAATTACCCATCTCTTTTCATTGGTGGGCATATAGAGTGGGAAACAGAAGCTCAGATAACAAAAAGAAAAAAACACTTTGACCTAAAAAATAAAAACCTGAAATAGGTAGTTCATTCAAAATTGGTAAATCCAAAGAGCAGTCTAGGTGTCTTTGGATCTAGGAACTCCCCAGTAAGTGAGCTAACCAGAGAGGCAAAGCCGGAGGGTGAGAAGTTGCCCCAGACCTGCCATGAAACATGGAGGAGGGGAGAATATCTGGTGAGAAGTCCATTCAACTCTGTAGGTGTTTCTGTGAGACTGCTGTGGGTGATATAACTGAACTAAAACTTTCAGCTCCTTCCCTGGAGAAAAACAAAATGCTGCTTTGTGTGTTGTGAATCAGACAAAGTACACAGGGAGGCAAAGATCAAGACAGCTGTGGAATTCCAGAGATGGGAAGTAGGCAAAGAACCTGGCACGGTGCAACAAAGATAAGACTGGAGCCAAGGTGAGGAGCCTCGAATGCCTTGCCAGAGTTGAGTTTTGATGGGCTACTCTTTGAGGAGACTCTAAAGGATGTGAGCATACAAAAGACTATTTGAAAGTTAAATTTAAGCCCTGGCTGGTGTAGCTCAGTGGATTGAGCGCAGGCTGTGAACAAAAGTGTCGCAGGTTCGATTCCCAGTCAGGACACATGCCTGGGTTGCAGGCCACAGCCCCCAGCAACCACACATTGATGTCTTTCTCTCTTTCTCTCTCTCTCTCTCTCTCTCTCTCTCTCTCTCTCTCTCTCTCTCTCTCTCTCTCTCTCTTTCTCCCTCCCTTCCCTCTCTAAAAATGGATGAATAAAATCTTTAAAAAAAAGTTAAATTTAATCTGGGTGGTGGCATGTAGGATGGAGTGTAGGGTAGCCTGGGGCAAGAGATACTACAGGAATCTAGTAGGGAGTCTGAAAACATTATTGTTGTGGGAAGTGACTAAGGATTGACTGCAAAAGAAAAAGAAAAAACTGACGGATTCAAGAGCCATTGAAGAAAAAGTCGAGAGGACTTGAGGTCTGGCTGGGTGTAGAGGATTCAAGTTTCCCAAGCTGGGTGAATATGCAGGAGGATATCTCCACTGATGGAGACCAGAAAGTCAAAGGGAGATGATTTGGGGAAATAAATTGTGAGGACAGTATGAGGCTGGCTGAATTTGAGCTAAAACCAAGACATTGAAGTGACATATCCTTCAGGCAGTTAGATTTGAATCTGGAGGCATGACTTAGGAGATGGCTATTGGCAGAGGGAGAAGCTGATGCCCTGGAGAGGATGGCTCTGTGAGGAAGGCCACAGGGAGAAAGAAAGGCAAAAAGGACCAGGACTGTGTCTTGGGGATTCTCACATTTCCCATCAAAGCCTCCACCAACATGCTCCTCCACCCTCCACTGTGATCCCAGACATTCTAACACCATTATTCCTTCCTGCTGCTGAGGGAATAGCTATTGAGCATTAACTCTGAGTTAGTCTTGACATCAAGTCGACCTGTTATTTCATTATATTATGGGATCAGCCCTGGGATGTGGGTCATGCAGACCCATTTTACAGAAGACAAAATAGACCCTGAGAGATGGATCAATTCATGGAGTGTGCAGTGCACAGGAGTTGACATTAAACCCAAGCCTCCTGATTCCCATTCAGCTGGGCACCTAACATGTACCAAGATTTATTGGGAATGTAATGATATTGGGCCCTACCCTCCTGGAGGCTACAATCCTGTCAGAGGTAAGTAGGCACATAAATTTTGATTAATTGAGAAAGGGCTCCAGGAGACATACAGATAAGGTCTTCCTACAGTCCAAAGGGCCGAGGACCTCACAGGCAGGTTCCAGGAGGAGGTAAGCACTGAGGCAACTAAGGTCTTGAGGATCTGGAAGAAATGCCCATCACACTGACCCTTGTTCCACAGGTACTGTGTCCGGGAATTGCAGCCGTTCGGGCGGGGGGCAAGGGCTGCTGCGGTGCGGGCTGCTGTGGAAATCGCTGCAGGGTAAGATCCAAATTTAACGCGGCATTCGGGAATGGTCTTTGAACAGGTCTATGAAGAGCCAGCCTAAAGCCACGGCTCCTTCTTTCCAGCTAAAGTAGATTCTCCTCTGCAGAATCCTAGGATCCATTTCTGCCTCTCCTCCCCCCGCATCCCCCCACATCCTGCCCCGCCAATCTCAGGCCTCAATGGGCCTGACCAGAGGGGACTACAACCCCATGAACCTCTGCAGCCTCTGGCTCTCAGGGTTATCCTAACTCCAAGCATTGGGGTTTGACGGGGAGTGTGTCTTAGCGTGACTAGAGAAGAGTGGTAGTGTGGGGGAAGAGGGGAAGAGCTAGGCGCGGCCAGCCGGCCCTCGGAAGGGAAATGGCGACCCTACTCGCTTCTCCTTCCACTCTGCGTCCAGATGCTGCGCTCGGTCTTCTGCTCGGCGCTCGGGGTGCTTGGTGCCATCTACTGTCTCTCAGTATCGGGAGCCGGGCTCCGAATTGGGCCCAAATGCTCAATGGACGGCAAGAAATGGAACTACCCTTTCCAAGACACCTCGTAAGGCTCGGCCAGTTTTCACCCCCTCACCCCCTCCCCACCCCATTCTGTGCCTCTCGGGACGTGGACCCGGAAACCTGGGCAGGACTCACCTTCGCCTTAGAGAGATCTTCTTCCATGTGGGCCACATGAGTCGTTTGCAAATCCCTCTTGGCGCATGCTCCAGATGGGCAACAGGGAGGGGGGCTCTCCGTGGTGACCTCCATCTCTCACGTGACCTTGTGTGGTCCACAGAGGTTCTTACTTGCTCAACCGTACCCAGTGGAGTTTGTGCAAGGAACCGCCTAATGTGGTCACCTGGAATGTGACGCTCTTCTCGCTGCTGGTGGCTGCCTCGAGCCTGGAGCTCCTGCTGTGTGGGATGCAGGTGGTGAACGCGACCATTGGTGTCTTCTGTGGCGACTGCAGGAAGAAGGAGGTGGGACGGAGTGCGGAGGAGCTATAGAGGGAACCTACTTGCTACCTGGCTGCATTCTCACGTTCCCTTTTCCGCAGGGCGCCCCTCGCTGAGGCTCCACTGACCCCCCTGCTCACTGATGGACACCCACCTGGACGCCCCTGCCCTGGAATAAACGATTTTGAGCTCTCTTGAGCGTCTCAGATTGTGCCCTATAGGAGGAGCACCCCAAGGCCTCTGGACACGCTGGGGCTTGGGGCTCTCTTGTGTGGGAGCCCCTACACCCTACTTACTTTCTTAGTAAATAGTTATTGAGCTATTAGTGTGCCCTGGAAATAAAAAATTACTAAGACAGGCAACTTCTGTGTTTTCAAATACTTTGGTATTCCAGGGTGGAAAATGGGCAATTTTAAGAGGCAAAAGATCAACTGGTGATAAACAGTTTTTAAAAACACGGTGATAATGGGGTAGATATTGACTGGTGGAGGGTCTTTTTTAAGTAAGTTAAATCTGGGAAAGTGAAATTGGAGCTGGCATCTGGTGATGGACTAACCATCTGTATCGCTGAGGGATTCCAGGCAGAGAGAACAGCAAGGACAAAGGTCCTAAACGGGAATCAGTATCTAGAAAAGCCAGTGTTTGAGTTTTGTACTGGGGGTGGGTGAAGGGGCAACTATGGAAAAGATATATAACCAATTAAGCTCTAGGAAAAGGAAGCCTGAAGGTGTTGTAACATGTCACCTCTTAATTTTTTAGAAGTTCTTTAATCTGACCAAGGTCACTGGTGGTTCGGAAGAGAAACAACCTAGGCGTTTAACGGGGATGGGGTGACTGCAAATGCCCTCAGAAAGCCAGGGACATCCTTAACTTGTAAGCAAAATTGTGTTTAAGAGCATTTTTCTGGACTGTTTCCATAACTTTCAGTAGCCTGCTGTGGACTCCTGAGCGGAAACCTGAATTTCAGCCTGGCCCAAAGCTAGGTTAGGAGGAAGACTAGGAGACACAGTTTCCTACCCCTAAAATGATTGAGACCAAAGCCAGGACAGAGAAGCTTTAGTCGCGGGTGGTGGGATAAGCCAGACGCGAGCCGGGGAGAAGGCAGCGAAGGTGTCCACCGCAACAGCAGGAAAAACACATGTCATTGACCGCAGTGTCATTGCAGAGGCCTCTAGGCAGCTCAATCTTTTTTTTTTAACTGGAACATTTTTTTAAAGATTTTATTTATTTATTTTTAGAGAAGGAAGGGAGGGAGAAAGAGAGAGAGAGAGAAACATCAATGTGCGGTTGCTGGGGGCCGAGGCCTGCAACCCAGGCATGTGCCCTGACTGGGAATTGAACCTGGGACACTTTGGTTTGCAGCCCGTGCTCAATCCACTGAGCTACACCAGCCAGGGGCAGCTCGATCTTGATCTGCAAGCCATACGCCTTCTGGACGTGGCTCACTCCAGTTTCCAAAGTCTCCCCAGGCCAGACCAGGCCCTTCCAGCTCTGCGCCATCTGAGCAGTGGAAACGTGCATTGTTTGCAACCATGTTGTCCCCAGGGTCATGGGAGCCTCCACGAGAAAGAAGAAAACCACGAGGAAGCGCCCTTTGGGACACCATGGGTGGCCTGCTCGATGCACCCCACCTACGAGGGAAAGGGAGACTCTTTGGCTCTGCGGGTGCCCCTTACCCTCCTCCCTCCCGACCCAGCCAGGTGCTACACAACCCCGGTGGGTTGGATCTAATAACCTGACACCCACCGAGGTGCGGATGAGAGGTCTACCATCTACTCCCAAGTCTAAAGGGCCCCACAGGTCTGGAGGAAACTGCCGGCTAGGAGGGGGGTGTTTGTAACAGAGGATAAGGGCACACCCCCACCCCAGGGGATCATTGGCCCCTGCCCGCCCCCCTTCCAGCCTGGGACTCCACTGATGAGTGTTGCTCCATATTCCCACAGGTGTGGTGGTGCAGCCTGATCCCATTCATTGCTGTACAGTTGCCAGGAATTCCTTGTGGGGTGGGGGCACCCCACCTGGGGAGGGAGAAGAGGGGTAAAGACGAGTCAGAAGACTACTGAATTATTTTATTTTTTTTATAAATAAACATTGAATCCATTACTTTTCATTTATAACTGAATGAAATTAGTTGGTATTTTAAAAATTAACTTGGTGAGCCCTGGCAGGTCAGCTGAATTGGTTAGAGTCTTCCCAATATGCCAAGGCTGCAGGCTGATCCCCTGTCTGGGCACATTCAAGAAGCAACCAATGAATGTATAGTAAGTGGAAGGACAAATCAATGTCTCCCTCTCTTAGTCTTCCCTTCCCTCCCTCCCTCTCCATCTCTCTCCCTCCTTTCCTCTCTGTCCCTCCCCTCCTCCATCTCTTTCTCTTTCTCCCCCTCCCTTCTTTCCTCTCCCTTGTTCCCTTTTTCTCTCTGTTTAAAATTAGTAAATAAAAATAAAATAAACTTGGGAGGCCAAAGCCTTTAGCTTGTGGAACTGTATGCCTTTAATAAACATATTTAAAATATTAAATAACTCATTTAAGAATGGGCCCTGGCTGGTGTGGCTCAGTGGATTGAGCACTGCCCTGCAAACCAAAGGGTCCCAGTTGATTCCTAGTCAGAACACATGCCTAGGTTGCAGGTTAGGACCCCAGTGGGGGGTGCATGAAAAGCAACCATACACTGCTGTTTCTCTCCCTCTCTTCCTCCATCCCTTCCCCTTTGTCTAAAAATAAATAAATAACTTTTTAAAAAAGAAGAAGAGGAGGAAGAGGAAGAAGAAGAGGAAGAGGAGGAAGAGGAAGAGGAAGAAGAAGAAGAAGAAGAAGAAGAAGAAGAAGAAGAAGAAGAAGAAAATGACCACTCTCTTCTCTTAGGTCTTGTGCATCTCTGCCTTCTGGAGACCTAGGTCTGAGCCCTCATCTTGATCAAGAACCTGCTGGTGAGGAATCCGTCAGGATACATCTCATGCCAGGCCCAGTTGCCCCCCACCCAGGGCCCCTGTTGGTCACTTAGATGACTTTAGTGTAGCTGCTCGAACCGTCTGCTTGGTCATGTCTGCAGCATGTCACCCACAGCAGCAGCAGCTTGGCTCCCGCACCTGATTCTACGCTGCAGCCTCTGTCAGCCGTGGCCCCTTATGCAAGTTTATAGCACCTCTGCCCCTACAAGGGTTCTGACTGCAGAAGAGCCACTAGGATTAAGTGACACCAAAAACGAAGCTGCTCCCAGAACCCAAAGGACCCGGCTCTCTGCTCAGGGAGATGTAGGCTCCTGGCACCAGAGGAAGAGGGGCACCAGGGGCTGACAGGTTAGAATAACCACCACCTACTGAACGTTTACTTATGGGCCACAAATCCTGTTCTATTAAATCCTCACAACTTTAGGAGGTGGGAATTACCCTTGCTATTTTGCAGATTTGGGAACTGGGGCTTGGAAATGGCAAGCAATTTATCTAAGGTCACAGTCAGCAAGCTGGGAAACATTCCAACACTGGGAAATGGGGAGCCCAAGGCTAGGGATGGAAGTGGAGGCTACAGAATTCCAATGGACAGGATTGATCTGAGGCAAACTCAGGGGCCTCCAAGGTGTGAGCGAGCATCAGAGTGAGACAGGGCAAGAATCCATGAACTGTGGGAGCCAAGGCCTTCTTAGCAATTGGGGTCTTGACTCCTTGAGAATCTGGGATACTCCTCATCCCAGAAATATGCACAGAGCCAGGAACAATTCTAAGAAGTTTAGGTACAGGTTACTAAGAACAGGAGATGGTGTTTTTGTTTTTGTTTATTGCATCTTGCATCATTTCCCTGAATGTGTTTCCCCCCATGGCCATGAGGTAGACTTCTAATTTGCAAAAACCAAAACCAAACAAAAAAGTTGGCTCAAATTTGTCATGGGGAGCACCATCCCTGATTTGCCTGCCCCTCATACACATTCCTTTGTTTATTCAACATATAGTTACTTAACAATAATGTGTTTATGCCTAGGCGATATTCTAAGTGCTGTGAACAGAGCTGCAACCAAGAAAAACAAGGCCCCTGTCATCAGAGTTCATGATCCAGGGGGGATCAAAATGTAAATTCTCCAATGGACCCTGAGCTCCAGGAAGGCAGTTTTGTTTTTTTTGTTTTTTTTTTGTCTTCTTGAGGATTAATCGGGGCCTGGCATGTGGAAATAGTTAATAAAAGTTGATTTGATAAATAATTGAGGACCAACCTGGAGTTTAAAAAATTAAACCACAAAAAATGGAAGACCAAAAAGCCCAAAGTATATAATCAAAATGTCATGCATACAGATCAAGATAAGTCCTCTGGGATAAGTTAGAGAATTTAGAAGTGGGTGTTCCCTGGATCCCAGGTGCCCCAAGCTTGAACTTAATAGGTAAGATTTATGGAGCAATTGCGGTAAGCTTTCCTATTTAGTGTTTACACATACGTTGTCATTTAATCCTCGCAAAGTACCTATTATTATCCTCCATTTACAGCGGAAGGAACTCAAGCCCAGAGTTAACTTAGGACCCACACCATTGCTCAGTGGGAGAGCTGGTTTTCACCCCAGCCTCCCTTCCCAATACCCAGGCTGCCTCTTACTACAACCTGGCCCTACAGAAAGGAAAATAGAGAGGTGTCATTGCCACCAAGTTCCCCATACCCTCTTAATCTGGTTTCTCATCCTTGAGATGACGCCCTCTGGGGCAAGGGGCAAAGGGCAAAGGGGAGGGGGCCTTAGATTAATTATTAACCTTTGCCCTCAGTGCACCAGGACTACTCTTCCTTCTCGGAGGCGGAGGGACAAAGGCTGGGTAGGAGCACGTGACGGGGTGGTGGTCCCAGGCAGCTATGGGGGTCGCGCTGCCTCCACAGGTCTCTCGGCGCTGGTTCCGCCATACAATTCCTCTTGCCATCTTCGCGCTGCTACTTTTTTATCTCTGTGCTTGGAGCCTACGTGAGTGGCCTCTTTCCTCACCTCCCCTGGGAGGAAGCCAGGAATCCAGGTCCTTGGGACCTAATCTCCCTCTTCGACCCTCACCACTCCGCCTTGCCTCTCCCCAGGTGCCTTCTCAGGCTGCCGATTCCGGACACTGTCCTGCATTGCCGAGGGACCGCCGCCTTTACAGGTATGTTCAGGGCAGGGCTGGGACCAGGAGCTCCAAATAGGATCCTGAACAGGGGGAAATGCAGTCAGCCTGACTTTGGTGAGAATAGCTCCTCCTTCCAGTATCCTCTCTCCCGACAGCAGCTCAGAGTATGGCAGGAGGGACACCAGCTAGACCTTAGGAATAATTTCTTCAGAGCCCGACTGCGCTGCCTGGCGAAGGAGGCCCAACAGTCTAAGGGTTCTGCACACCCCCCCCCCAATATCTACTCCCCCAGGTGCGGCAAGAGTCGGGATCCCTGGAGACCCCGGAGCGAGAAGAGCCTCCGTGTCTGGGCCCCCAGGGGACGCTGGGCCGCATGGTGAGGCCGTTCCGCGTTAGTCTGAACCCCGAAGGGGATGTGGAGTTGTCGCAGTACCTGGCGGGATGGAGGGAGTTAATCAAGTGAGTGGTCCCCCTTCCCCTAAACCAGTCCCCGCCCCCACCTCGCCTTCTCTCTAACGATTCCACTCTTCCCACCACCACACACACAGGTTCCTAACTCCCTTCGGCTCCATCTTCGCCTTCGCCACAAGCGAGGCCTTCACGAAAGTAACAGCCCTCGAGGCTCGGGTGCACGGCCCAGAAGCCGCGCACTATACGTCGCTGGCGGTCATGGTGGCCTGGGAGCGGCGGGCGGGACTGCTGGAGCGGCCTGGGGTCAGCCCTGGAGACTCGGCCCGCTCCTCCGGTTCACGAACGACTCTCTTGCTGCACCGTGCGCTACGCTGGTCCCAGCTCTGCCTCCACCGGGTGGCGACCGGCACGCTCGGAGGCCCGGGTGCCGGAGAGCAGTGCAGCGACGCCTACAACACAGTCCTGGCCCCGCACCACCCCTGGCTGGTCCGTCAGGCTGTCCGCCTCGCATTCCTCTCCTTCCCAGGTCGCGGCCACCTGCTGGAGCTGGCTTGTCCCGGAACCAGAGAGGCGGCGGCGCGGGCTGCCGTGGTCCGCGCCGCCAGCACCCTGGAGGACGTCTACAACCGGACCCAGTGCTTGCTGGCCGAGGCCGGCCTGCTCCAGCTTGCGTAAGGCCAGCAGCTGCCGCGACCCGCTAGGAAGGGAGCTCCCGGGGGCGGGGTCAGCGCCGAACAGCCTCCCGGTCTACACTTTGCCGCGTGCTTCCAGGGCCAGGGGGGCGGGCACCTGACAGCCCGCCTCTTTGGTGACGTCACTGGCTTAAACGCGCTCCGCCGGGCGGGGGATTAGCTCCTCCCTCTATCCGAAGTCCTCAGAAGAACGAAGGAGCTGTGGGGAATAAAAAGAATACTTTGGTGTCCGTGGATTAAGGGCGTTTTCTGTGATTCCAGCAGGCGCTTAAGGACATAGAAATAAATGGTTGCGTGGGACAATGTGTCATCCCTGTTCCCGGCAACCGAGAGACACACTCCCCTTGGCTATCTCAGCCACTTCTATGGCTTCCTTGCCAACCACACGCCAAGTCTCCAGCCCAGGCCTGTGTCCTAAGCTCCAGCCCCATAAAGCCACATATATCCCGGACACCTCCACAGACACCAAAAATGCAACACGTACAACTGAGATCCAATCGCCCCCTCCAAGAACTGCATCTCTTCCTGTGTTCTTTGTCTCTCTGAATAAATGGCACCCTCTTCTGTCAACCACGCAAGCCTAAAACCAGTACCTCATGCCTCACACTAAGCAGAAGCTCAGCTCAATAATGTATCTTCATTAAATTACTTTTGGGCCGCCTCCACGATAGGGAACATGAAAGAGCTTTGTCATTTCATACACTGATAACTCCCAAATTATAACTCCAACCACGTTCCCCTGGACTCCAGAATCTTATCTATACACCTTCTCATTTGACATCTCCCCTTGGATTTCAGCTAGACATAGCAAACTTAACATGCCCAAAACTTCTAATACCCTTTCCTCCCAAAATCCTCCCTTTGTCTTTGCTGTCTGAGTAAATGACAATTCCATTCTTCCAGGTCCTCACGCCAAAACCTTGTAGTCATCTTGACTTTTTGTTTCTCTTTCATCACACCCACATCCAATCCATCAGAATCTGACCATTTCCCACTATCTGCACTGCTACCACACTTGTCAAGCCAACTTTATCACCTAGATAATTGCAATAGCTTCCTAATTGTTTCTCAGTCCCATATTTTGCCTCCCTACAGTGTATGCTTAATAGAACAGCCAAAATTATTCTTTAAAATGTAGTTCACATTATGTCACTTCCTTGCTCAAAACCTTCCAATGGCTTCCTATTGTACTCAGATGAAAAACATTTTTATTTAAGCAGGAAATTTTCTGGATCATGTTTTCAGTTGAGATTGATGGATAGCTTCATAAGGGTCCTACCTGTCTGACTCTGCACTAGCCAAGTTGACTTCCTCAATGTTCATTAAACATGTCAGCTTTGATTCTGCCTCAGAACTTTTGCACCTGCTCTCCACTCTGTCCATAATGCTCCCCCACCCAAATAAACAAATGACTTCCCTCCTTATTAGCTTCTGGTCTTTATTCAAATGTCTCCTCAGTGGCACCTTTCCTGATTATTCTTTCTAAAATTTCAACACACACGGACATATACACACATTCCCTATCTTCCTTCCTTGCTCTATTTTACTTTTTATACAGTTCACTAACTATTGTAATCATTTGTTTTGTTGTCTCACCAAATATATGTAAGTTCCAAGGGGCTAGAAGTTTCTGTTTTGTTTCCTGATGTACCTCCAATGCTTCAAACAGTGCTTGGTATCTAGTAGACATTTAGTAGTTTATTGTCTAATGAATGTATGAACACTAAAAACAGTTCAGATGGCTGGAGCCAAGAGAATCAAAAAGAAAAGAAGGGGGTTACACAACACTGTAAATGTACCTGGTGTTACTAGATTATACACCAAAACCTGTTAAATGCCAAATTTTATACTATGTTATTTATAATTTACTACAATAAAAATTTAAGAAGTAAAAAGGAGGCTTGATTCTGGTCACAATGGACAGGAGCGAGTTCATAAAGGGCCTTATAAACTATTTTACAGATTATATCTCAAGCATTAATTTTAAGCAGAGTATTGTGTGGATTATAGGCTCAGTTCAAAAAATCAGCTCCAGCTGGAGTATGTAGGAAGAGTATGGCAGATTCATAGGAGAACCACTCCACAAAATAACAGCAAAATACACATTCTTCTTAACTGCCCCTGTGACATTCTCCAGGACAGACCATATATTAGGCCACAATGAAGTCCCAATAAATTTAAAAAGACTGAAGTCACAAAAATATTCTCCAACTGAAAAAAAAAAAACAAAATTAGAAATCAATAACAAAAGGGATTTTGGAAATTCACAAGTATGTGGACATTAAATAACACACTCCTAAACAATGTGTCAAAGGAAAATTCAGGGAAAATATTTTGAGATTAGTGAAAATGAAGACAACATGTATTAAAACTTAGGGTTGCAGACTAAGCAGTGTTCAGAGGAAAATATTTAAATGGAAATGCTTATATTAAAATTTTTTAAAAGAGCCCTGGCTTATGTGGCTCAGTGGATTCAGTGCTGGCCTGTGAACTAAAGGATCGTCAGTTTGATTCCCAGTCAGGGCACATGCCTGGGTTGCAGGGTCCCCAGTGCGGGGGGCTGGGGGGTGGGGGTCAGGGTGCGTGAGAGGCAACCACACATTGATGTTTCCCTCCCTCTCTTTCTCCCTCCATTCCCCACTCTAAAAGTAAATAAATAAAATAATTTTTAAAGAATCAACTAATGAATGCCTAAACAAGTGAAACAATAAATCGATTTCTCTCCCTTCTCTCTTCTAAAAAAAGTCAGTAAATAAAAAGTTCAATATAAAAAAGAACTACAAACTCAACAGAGGATAACCCAATCTTTAAAAAATTTTACTTATTTACTTTTGAAAGAGAGGGAAAGGAAGGGATAGAAACATCAATGTGTGAGAGATACATCCATTGCCTCCAGCATGTCCCCAACTGGGGACTGGGCCCACAACCCAGGCATATGCCTTGACTGGGAATCGAACCAGCAACCTTTTGATTTGAAGGCCAGCACCCAGTCCACTGAGCCACACTTGCGAGGGTGAGATATCTGAATTTTAAAATGGGCAAAGGACTTCCATAGACATCTCTCCAAGGAAGATATACAAGATATGCAAAAGAACAATTAGCATATGAAACTAGGATCAACAACACTAATCATTAGGGAAATGCAAAAACAAACAAATCGACAACATACTAATTCACATCCTCCAGAACTGCTAAAGTAAAAATACATAATAATGCCGACTGATGTGGCTCAGTTGGGCATCCTCCTGCAAACCGAAATGTTGCCAGTTGGATTCCCGATCAGGGGACATGCCTGGGTTGTGGGCCAGGTCCCCAGTTGGGAGTGGCAACCGATAGATGTTTCTCTCTGTCTTTCTCCCCCATCTCTAAAAATAAATAAATAACATCTTTAATAAAGAAAAATACACAACAATTAGTGAGGATACAGAGAAGTTGGAACCCTCATGCATGGCTGGTGGAGATGTAAAATGGGACAGCTGCTGTGGAAAACAGTTGCCGGTTCCTCAAATGTTAAACAGTTACTACATGACACACCAATTCCACTCCTGGGACTGTATATACTCCTAGGTATACACCTCAGAGAAATGAAAACAGTATGCACACCATAAGTCAGAGGTTCAAGCCCGTCTTGAAGACTTTTTGAACTGCAACTCGGATCAAATACAGCAGTGCTGCACAGTCCAATAGTAAACAATCCTTGCAGACTATTTGGGGGTATTGTTGTTTGCTTATTTGCCTGCCATGCTGCCATCAAGCGCTCACTGTCGCAAAAGGAACTTCTTTTACAACCGTGGCCTGGCTTCTCAGCCTGAAGGCCTCCGAGCGCTACTAAAGGGAGTGACAGAGCGCTTTACGACAGTTGCTTTGTGGCAGTACCGGAGGAGGAAGATGGCGGCCACCTTAGTAGCTGCTAGAGGGGTGGGCCCAGCCCCAGCTTGGGGGCCCGAGGCCCTAACCCCCGATTGGGAAAACCGGGAAGTCTCCACAGGGGTGAGGAAGGACTCCGGGTTCAGGGGTTGTGCACAAGTCTTAATGAGATGGAATGATAGACCTGAGTGCGTTGGGAGAACTGGGGCGGGGACGGGCGGAAGGTGGTCTGTGCTATGCTGGAGGCAAGGGAGAGGTACCGAGAGTTTGCCTCGTGATAATTTCGTGATTGGATGTGGAAGGCAGGCGGAAGCGTGGAATTTTGGAATCTTGTGAGATAGCTTACGGCTGGAATGGACTCGGGGATCTAAGGATTGAAATTCTGGTATTTTGGGGGGTTTTGAGCTTCCTCTGAGATTTGACAATGGATCAGTGGTACATGACTTTAGTACTCTAGGCCTGGATAGAGGAATCATTGAGATTTGTGTATGTTGGAGAATGTGCACAGGCCGAGACTCACCCCTTTCTCCTTTTTCCCAGACCACTATCATGGCCGTGCAATTTGATGGGGGCGTGGTTCTGGGGGCCGATTCCAGAACAACCACCGGGTGAGCTCAGGACACACATGTGAAAGGTTTTCCTGTCTTTCTCTTCTTTGCCTGCCAAGCCCATCGCTACTCTTGACAGACAGCTGTGGCAGGGAGGTTTCTTCCCTCCCTGGTGATAAAGATTTGTGTCAGACTCTACGACTTCTCTGTTCCCCTCACCCTTAGGTGAAATTTTTGTGAAACTCGGTTCTCCAGCCTGTTTCAGTTTGGATGAGAACTAATAGCAAATAGAGGAATTCCTATTCCTGAGCGCTGAGAGAGAGGATAGTAATGGGGTGGAGGTGGGAGACAAGTAGGATCCTTTCCCTCACTATTCTGCCATCCTTGCTGTTCTGCCAGGTCCTACATCGCCAACCGAGTGACTGACAAGCTGACCCCTATTCATGATCGTATTTTCTGCTGCCGCTCAGGCTCCGCAGCTGATACCCAGGCTGTAGCTGATGCTGTTACCTATCAGCTTGGTTTCCACAGGTGCTTGTGGGCTGGGGAGAAATGAGTATGTGAAGGAAGCTGGGACCTGAGGAGCCAAATGATCTGACTCCCAGATCCTGACACTGCCTTCTCTATAATTCCCCTCATCCTCTAGTATTGAGCTGAATGAGCCTCCACTCGTACACACAGCAGCCAGCCTCTTCAAGGAGATGTGTTACCGATACCGGGAAGACCTGATGGCAGGAATCATCATTGCGGGCTGGGACCCCCAAGAAGGAGGGCAGGTCAGATATTCCCCACCACCAGAGCACTGAAACCATGCCTTCAATTCTCTCCCCACTCCAGCTGTTTTCTTTGTCCAGCCTCCATGTCACTGTTAACTTCCCAGATCAGTCCCACAATGGAGAGGTGAATGTATATGTGTTGTGGGGAGGGTACAACTGATGACTCAGTGTCCTCCTTCCGTCTGGCAGGTGTACTCAGTGCCCATGGGGGGTATGATGGTAAGACAGTCCTTTGCCATTGGAGGCTCCGGGAGTTCCTATATTTATGGCTATGTTGATGCTACCTACCGGGAAGGCATGGCCAAGGAGGAGTGTCTGCAATTCACTGCTAATGGTGAGAACTTGGGTTTCTGGGCCTGAGCTTCAACTCCCACACCCAAGGCATGTCAACTTTCCTCATTCCTTATAGTGATCCCAGCATCTGAGTCTGACCCACAACTGTCTTTTATCCACAGCTCTCGCTCTGGCCATGGAGAGGGACGGCTCCAGTGGAGGGGTGATCCGCCTGGCATCCATAGAAGAATCAGGGGTAGAGCGGCAAGTACTTTTGGGAGACCAGATTCCCAAATTCACCATTGCCACTTTACCACCTCCCTGAATCCTGGGATTTTGAGATACAATAAGAAACATCCCATACTGATGCAGAATTCAATAAACAGTTTGTGAAAGAGAGCCTGTGTGCTTTGGGTTCTTTTTACGACATCAAGCCCAACTTGTCTGGCCAAGTTTGTACAAGGCATTGAAGAGGAGCCTTTACAAGGGTGGTTTTCAAACTTCTTTTTTTAGGCCACCTTCCCCCACATTGCCTTTCCTCTGCTATAAATTTAGGTCTTTGTGACACCAGAGTCTGCTTGATATGGGAACTACCAACGAATGACCCTCTCCAGACCCCCGTTCAAGCCTGAGGTAGAACTCAGAATTCTGACTAAAACTGGGGTCACCTCCCCTTAGCCTGCCTCCTCTCTGTCATTATGGGTGGCTACTGGCCCTAAGGCCAGAAGGACTCCAGATCTCTGACTCAGGCTCATGGTCCCCTCTGCCCACACTCACCTCTGTCATCTCACTGTTAGGAGCCGCAGTGTGACTTCCTTAGCTTTTGGGAGAAAGATGAGCATTGTTTACAGTTGGAGTTTAAGATGGACATTGTGTGGGAGAGGACAGCCACTGGGAGTTCTGTGGGCCAGTTCCTGAAGCCACCATTCCTGTGCAGAGTGTAATGATAATTCAGTCTTTAGCCCCTTGGATGGCAGGAGGAGAATGGACTCTGGCCCCTCCAAGGCTGTCCCCACTCAAGCCAGGGACCTAAGAGGGCTCAGTGGTGTTCATTGACAATGACCAACATTCTTAGCCTTGCCTCAGTCTTCTTTTCTCTTCAATACGGATCAGGGAACTGTGTAAGTCACATTTGAAAACTTTTGTTCTAGAATATAATCTTGCCCTATAGGATTTTGGAGGTGGTGGTGTGTGGGGTCCTGATTAAGTGAAGAAGTGCAAAGAAGGATCTTGGTCCCCAAACGTGTACCTCAAACTAAAAACAGGCAATGGAGAACTTAGATTTTCCTGCAAAACCTGTTCTCCTGGTCCTCCCTATCTCAGAGCATCTTTGATTCCTCTCTTCCCCGTGTGCTCCACATTCAGTCTAACAGTAAGTCCTAAAAACCCCTCAAAAATGCATCTAGAATACATCTGCCTCTCAGCATCTCCATGGCACTCTTGAGCCAAGCCACCATCACCTCTTGCCTGGAATGTGGCAACTCCCTCTGCTACCTGGCCTTACTGCTTCTGTATGTGATCTACAATCTTTCCACACACAGCAACCAAAGTGAATCTTTCCATGTAAGTGAAATCAGGTTTAACACTCTGCTTAACTTTCTTCAGGGTCTTCCCATTCTGTTTAGAGTAATATTTGAGCCCCTTACCAGGGCCTAGAAGACCCAGCAGTTCCCCTCAATCTTGATACTCCAATCACGATTTTTTCCCTAGAACCCAAGAAGTGAGTACTTCAAAGTTGCTCTGTTTGTTTGTTGCCTGGCGCTGCTCTTCCCTGATTTAAAAAATTACTTTTTATAGCAGTTAAGTCCACAACCAAGTTAACCAGAAGACAGCAATTTCCCATATACCTTCTTGCCCTCATGTGCACAGCCGCTCCCACTATCAGCATCTTGCACCAGAATAGTGTACTTGTTTCCATTGGTGAGCTGACACTGACACATCATTCAGCTTAGCTCTGAATGGCACCTCATCAGAAAGGCCTTCCCTAACCACCTGAAATTTAAGAAACACCACCACCTCCACTGGGCTCTCATATTACCCTGTTTAATTTTCTTCATAGCAGCAGTTATTATTCTCTCATTATGCTTATTTGTTTATTGTCTATCTCCTCTACTAGAAAGTAAGGTCAGTGAGAAGAGAGAATTCTTTCTGCTTGGTTCACTGGTATATCCTCAGTGCCTGGTAGAGAGTGGACACCTGATATTCACTGAATGACTGTGACAAACCTGTCTCTGTCCTGCCTAGCCCTTAGCCTCTCCAAACCGCTCTCACCACACTCAACTCTGAGGCTTGATTTCGGCAAACTTCCCACTAGTGACAACTGGGCTCTGCATTAGATCAACTGCATCAAATTCACCACGCGTGTGTCTGTGCTCCGAATGCTGTACTTTCTACCTCAGCCCCATAACCAAGCCTAGTGCCTTGGCCCCATCTACTCTCTCACCCCAACACACATGCACATACAAACAGTACTTGGCAACTCAATATATTTAATGAGAAGATTGTGAGGGGCTTGGGGGAGCCAGAGTCTGAGATCACTGAGAAGTGGAGTGAAGGAAGGTTGCCAAGGCTTCCCAGAAGTTCAGCCCCTGGTTGTTCCATTTAAATGGTGGAGTCATTGGCTGATGCTATGTCATGCAGCTGGTGGCGGAAGGAGAGTCGGGCTTTCCTGCTGAAGTAAGCACCAGACCCTAGGGAGGGAACCCCTCCCTCAGTCCCCCCCTCAGTCATAATGGGGGCCATAACTGGGCTGGGGTCTGGATCTGGAGGGGCAGCTGGATCCAGACCTGAAAGGGAGATTGGAAAAAGAAGAGTTGTGAGTCTGGATCTCCCTTCCCTCTCCCCAACACTCCCACCCCTGGTGAGGAGGAAAGAGGCCAGAGAAGGCATCTGGGGGTGATGGGAGGGTCTTGGTGACATCAGCAGGGAGAAAAAGGAGGGATGATGACAGAGTGGGGCTGGCTTCACTGGCCTGTGACCTGTGCAGTTGCAAAGGGCCCCACATTCAGAAGGGCCCCCATGCTGGGTGTACTGCTCAGCTGTCATCATCTTGAAATTCTTTTTTTTAATAAGATTTTTTAAAGATGTTATTTATTTTCTTTCAGAGAGAGGGAAGGGAGGGAGAAAGAGAGGGAGAGAAACATCCATCCTTTGCCTCTCACACACCCACATCAGGGACGTGGCCTGCAACCTAGGCATGTGCCCTGATTGGGAATTGAACCGGTGACCCTTTGGGTTCTCAGGTCGGTGCTCAATCCACTGAGCCACACCAGTTAGGGCATCAGCCAGGGCATCATCTTGAAATTCTTAATCATTTTTTACTATGGAGTCCCACTTACTCATTTTGCACTGGGCCCTGCAAAGTATGCAGCCAGCTCCATGGGCAAGTGATAGACCCACCTCCCATCCAGGAAGACAGGCTATCCTTTTCCCTTCACTAGTGTAAGAATTTACCTTTCTCCCAGTGCAGTTTATCTGTTTGCCTGACAGCTCCCCTTTTTCCTTAGTCTCCCCGATACCTGCTCTTCTTTCAGTCCCTCGCTGTCTCCGGCACTTACACCATGGGAAACACCATGCCCTCTTGAGACCCATCTCAACAATGGAGGAGACCAGGGTGTTGGGAATGGCCAGGAGGGCCTCAGGAGAAGGGGTGTGGTTTCCAAGCCCCCCCACTGTGGGCAAAACTACCACTTAGCCTCAGACCGCCTGGTGATTATAGGCGCCAGGAGATGGAAGGGGGAGAAGAGGGTGGAGGGATACTGCTCTCAAACACCTATCCTTTTGTGCCCTCTTAATTTGGGGGCATGCTATTCAGTCTGCAGGCTGGCGCTCAATCCACTGAGCCACACCAGCCAGGGCTGGGGGCACTCTCGAACCTCATGGTACGCCTGGCAGCACAGAGGCAGACACAGAGGTGCTGAGATGGACAGGTACAGCGAAAATTCACTACAGCAATGCTGGACAACTTGGTGGCAGCCTACCTACTGCTGAAGGCTCATTTGTATTTTCAAAGGAGAGTTCAGAATTCCCAAGATGTAAAATTTTGAAAAGTAGTTTATTTTTTTTAGAACAAGAAACTTTACTGGTCAGGGAAATATTATGTTCTCATTAAATGGTCTGCCAGCTCTTGTCCTCTTTTATGAAGATAATCGTAATTGATTAATTACTTTGTGCCAGGTAGATTCCAGGGACTTGTACATGTTATCTCATCTCATTTTATCACAGCAACGACACTTTGAGGCAAGTGCTGTTACTATCCTGGTTTCACAGATGAGGAATCAGAAGCCCTGAGAGATTAGGTAACTTGCCCAGAGTCACACAGGCAGTTATCAGCAGGGTAGGAACTCACACACATTCCCAACAGTCTGACCCCAGAGTCCACTCTGCCCCTACACTGAGCTTCCCCAGCATGTCCCAGCCAGGCACTGATGCCCTCAGCCAGGTCTGGGGGGGTGGCCAGAGCCTGCCTGGGCTGGGAGCCTCAGGTCCAGAGCACCCAAACCAAGGGCTGTAATGCCCTCTAGTAGAGCTGCACACTATTATTCCCTGAGGGCACACTGACGTGGGTGAGAAAGTTGGGAAGCACTGCTGACTACACTGCCTTAGACAGAAATTGTTGTTGTTGTTGTGTTTTAAGATTTTATTTGTTTATTTTCAGAGAGAGGGGAAGGGAGGGAGAAAGAGGAGAGAAACATCAATGTGTGGTTGCCTCTGGTTTGCCCCCAACTGGGGTCCTGGCCCTAAACCCAGGCATGTGCCCTCACAGGGAATTGAACCAATCACCTTTTGGTTCTCGGGTCAGCACTCAATCCACTGAGCCATACCAGTAAAAATTTACATATAATTTAATGCATGCATCCTAGTGTACAGTCCTATGAGTTTTGACAAGTGTATACATCCATGTGATCACCACCCTAATCAAGATATAGGACATTTCCATCACCAAGTTCCCTTATGTGCCCCTTCATAGTCAATCTCTTCCCCACTCCCTGCCACAGGCAACTACTGATCGGATTTCCAGCACTCTAGATTGGTTTTCCCTGTTTCAGAACTTAATATAAATGGAACCATATAGTATTACTCTTTTGTGTCTGGCTTCTTTCAGCATAATGGTTTTTAAATTCACCCATGTTGCATGTATTAACAGGTTTATTTTGTATTAACAGCTTTATTAAGAGATAATTCACACATCATAAAATCACACTTTTAACCTTTTGTCCACCATCTTTACAAGGCTGTGGTGGCAGCAGCTGCTCTGGAGCTTCCCTACAGTGTTAACGAGGACAAGAAGAAAGATGCCTGAAAGTCAGCCAAGAAAGACAAAGACCCAGTGAACAAATCTGGGGGCAAGGCCAAAAAGAAGTGGTCCAAAGGCAAAGCTGGGGACAAGCTCAATAACCTAGTCTTATTTAACAAAGCAGCATATGGCAAACTCTGTAAGGAATTTCCCAACTATTAACATAAGCTTATAAGCCCAGCTGTTGTCTTGGAGACTGAAGATCCATGGTTCCCTGTCCATGGCAGCCCTTCGGGAACTCCTTCGTAAAGGACTTATTCAACCAGTTTCAGAGCACAGAGCTCAAGTAATTTACACCAGAAACACCAAGGGTGGGGATGTCCCAGCTGCTGATGAAGATGCATTAACAACACATCCCACCAGCTGTACATTGTGAAAAATAAAACTTTTTTAAATAAAAAATTCACCATTTTAAAGTATACAATTAATGGTTTTTACTGTATTCACAGAGCTGTGCAACCATCACAACCAATTCATAACATTTTTAGACCCTCAGAAAAAAGTCTGTACCATTAGCAGTCCCTCCCTTGTCCTTCTCTGCTATTGGCAACCACTAATCTACTTTCTGTCTCTATGGACTTACTTATTCTAAACATTACATATAAATGGAATCACAGAAAATGTGGTCCTTTGTGTCTGGCTTCTCTTTAACTTAACATGTTTTCAAGGTTCATCCACGTTTCAGCTTATCAGTACATCATTCTTTTTTATGGCTGAAAAATATTCTATTGTTGAGATTAAACTACATTTTGTGCATCTATTCATCAGTCGATAGACATTTGGATGTTTCTGCTTTTTGGCTAATTGAATAATGCTACTATGGACATTTCTGTACAAGGTTTTGCATGGACATGTTTTCAATTCTCTTGGGTATGTATCCAGAAGTGGAATTAGTGGGCCATATGGTAACTCTATGCTTAACATTTTAAGGCACTGCTTTCCAAGGTGACTGCACCATTTTCTTCTTCATTCACTTTTATTGCTGGGTAATAAAGCCTATACACCACAAATTAATCAAAATCAAAAACTTCTGCTCCTCAAAAAGCACCATTATTTTAAAAGGACAAACCATATTCTGGAAGAAAACATTTGCAATACACATATCTGATAAAGGATTTGTATCCAAATATATATAAAGAACACTTACAATTCAATAAGACAAATAACATGGTTTTTAAAAACTTAGCAAAAGATTTGAACACTTTACAAAAGATCTACAAATGGCTAATAAGCACATGAAACATGCTCAACATCATCAATAATCAGTGAAATACAAATAAAACTACAGTGATGGACGATTTTACTTATTAGAATGGCTAGCACTGTAAAGATCAAATGACAGTATCAAATGTTGGCCATTCCTGGAGCAAGTGAAAATGAAAGATGAAACAGTTGTTTTGTAACAGTTTGGCAGTTTGTTACAAAGATAAAGCACAGTTATTATATGACCCAGCAACTCCTATCCTAGCTATTTACCCCAGAGAAATGAAAACATTAACCACACAAAGACTTACACAGGAATGTTAGGGGGAGTTTTATATTCACAATAGACAAAAACTAGAAACAGACCAAATATCCATCCAAAGAAGAGATAAAGAAATATACTTTACTTTTTTTTAATTACACTGTCCTTTACAACCTGAAAGTGTCCCTGTTTCCCTCCAGACGGTAAGTTTCAGGACAACAGGTTCCGTGACTCTCTTGTTCACTACAGCACTCTTCAGGTCTGGCACGTAGTAAGTGCGCAATACACGTTGAATGAATGAAAGAATGCAAGCTTGCGTACGTTCATGAATTTATGGCCACCATCCCTCGGAACTTTCAACATTCCTTCCACCTAAAAACGCTGGCCAAAACAAGCCCGGTGTGGTTCATTGCCTGCTCTGTAAAGGAGCACCCGCAGGTCCCCGCCACGGAGGCGCGTCTCCATAGGGGCCGGAAAGGGCCGGGGGACGGCTCCAAGGCGGGGTAAAGTGCGCGGCGTCGAGCGCCCACAGGGAGGCAGCAGGGCACAACTGGACCGACGGCGCGGGACCGACAGGCTAACCGGCTGACTGCGCCCGCCCGACGCACAGAGCTGGCCGCGCGACCTCGCAGACCCACAGCGCAGTAGGCACCCCCGGGCCAAAGGCGGCGCGACTGCGGGCGGCGGGGGCGGGACAGAACGGACGAGAATCCCGCGGAGGTGAGGCAGGGGGCCGTCCCGCCCCCGAGGGCAGGCCCTGAGCGCCGCTCCGCCCCGGTTCGCTGGGGTGTGCCTCCTGCTCTGGCTCTTCTGCGATCCCTCTGCAGGCCACCCAGCGGCAAAGCCGGCTCGGGCTGTCAGGGTGAGGGGACGGGGGAGGGGGCGCCGCGAGGGACCCGGGAAGTCGGGCGGGGTCTGGAACGAGCCGGGGCTGCGGGGCTTCCTGACTCAGCCGCACGCTCTGATTTTGGGGTTTCCCTCCCAGGCGGGGAGCGCGTAACTTCCTCTTTTCCGCATGGACCACCTTTCCCAACTGGCCTGGCCTAGTTTGAGTCCCAGTTGTGCCCAGCCCCTTGCGACCCCGGGTCCCCTTTCCTGGGCTTTTGCTCTGCCCCAGTTCAGAGACATCCGGGCCTGGCTGGGTGCTCCTGGCTGCGTGCCCCTGATTAGGCGACGGGAGGCGGGATTCACGGGTTCTGGATGGAGGACCGAAGTAGGGGATGGAGGTTAGAGGCGGGTTGGTGGGGCATTGCAGATGCTGGGGCCATAATCCGAGAGAAATTGGGAGTTATCAGGAGCTAGGCCGGTGGGTAAGAGGGGGAACAGGGGGCAGTGGGGAAGCGTGGGGGTGGGATAGAGAGCAGAGTTCTGCAGGGCAGATCATTTCTCTGAGACTTGCCCACATTCCTAGGATGACAGCTAACCCAGAAAGCCTCTTCCCTTCTGGGGGCGACCTGGACTCCAGCCAGTTACAGATGGAGTCTGATGAGGTGGATACTCTGAGAGAGGGAGAGGACCCAGGTACACGGAGAGGATGACCCTCAGGGAGAGGAGGAGGAGGGGGACCAGACCTTTTGGAGTCTACACTCTTGCACTTTCTTTCCTTCTAGCTGACCGAATGCACCCCTTCCTGGCCATCTATGACCTTCAGCCTCTGAAAATGCACCCCTTGGTGTTTGCTCCTGGGGTTCCTGTCACAGCCCAGGTGGTGGGCACTGAAAGATATACCAGTGGATCCAAGGTACCTGGGTTGGCACCAATGGGCAGGAGTTAAGGGAGGACTGGCTAGAGTTGGGGGCTGTGACCCAACCAGGGAACACCCATTCAGTT